CTTGTTATCTCATATCTATTAGAGTATTATTTTAGTTATGGAACTAGGTTAAATCAAACCCAAATGAGACATGAGGAGTCTCTTCATACATCTCAAGGATGTAAAATGTTGCAACCACCAAGCATTCCTCATCTGTCGCAATCAAACAAGAAGCATAATATTTATAATTTTGTGGATTTGAGTTTGAAGGTTTGTAGAGGTGCCCAGATTGTTTCTTGAAAAGGTCAAAAAGGATTTTTTTTTTAATAAGCATGATATTTCCTAGAAATCGCATGCTTCCAGATAATTAGTCTGACTAGTTTTTGTTGCTTCAAGTCACTTCAGGAAAATACCGGATTGTTTCAGATTGGGTTTTATGGCTGGTCTGTTTGAACGGTATTTACTGGCTAAGTGTTTGTACTTGGACTTTTAGTTGAAGAAAGTCTGCTTTTGGACAGGCTCATAATTCCTGTTTCTGAAGCAGCTTTGTGGTGGATTCAATGTAAAACTCGATTGTTTTTCTGGAAGTGTAACTAAACCGCTTCTCAATACTGTACTTTGCTGAGCAGCAGTGTCTGCCAAGATCTCAGAGACAGCCATTTGTGATTAGTGACCTGAGTACATGTGCAAGAACACTAAATCAACAGACTATGGAATATTCCATGCCTGTCCATTTTCTTCCTTCTAGAATAACCTCTATTGACCAGAAATAGTTTTTTTTAAAGTGAAACTCTGCAGAGAGAAATCTATTGTTTACCTTTACTGAAGTATATGTGTATTTGTGTATTTTGAGTCATATGGGGATATATATTTATATTTATATATTGCAATCTGTATATATTAACCAACTCTGCATTTTCTGTCACGAAATACTGGGATGTAATATGCTGAAAATTGTTTCCGACTATTCCCGGAATGGTCATAAATGTGAAAAGATTTAATTAAACCACCCAAAGCCCCAATTTACTTGACTGCCAGTCCCAAGTTATAAAAAAAACACCAGTTTCCTGTACTTCACAAGAAAATTGTTTTTATTGCGAACAAACTGTTTTTCACCAATGGCAGAAAAGGGACATAAATTGGTAACTTATCTCTCTCTGTAGAATAAGCTGACCTCCAACAACCACAGCCATCTTCCTATATGAAATTAATTTCATCAATGACCTACTTTCCGGAGATACCCAGGTCCCACGAATGAATAAATGAATAAATAAAACTCTACCCTTTTTTTTAAAGAGAAGTTCATACACATAAAAGCAGAAACACAAAGACACAACAAGAAACAACTATTATAGGTTTGGAAAATCAAAAAATTATCAATGAAGTGGCACAGGTCCAGTTTAGGAGAGAGGACAGTGAACTGTCTGCACATTTCCACCTCCTTCCCACCACCATAGCCACCACTATGTACTCCACAACCTTACAGCCAATATCTAAGGTCAATGACCTTTCGTCAGAAGTATTTTGCTTTTGCATCTGTCTTTTATCAGCTGGCAATATACCTACCATAAATATGCAATAGTTTTGTAGCAGTAGTTGAAAGAAATTGTGACCTTGACTTTTTCCACTGGAATTCATGGATATTACCACTGTATCTGTTAACTGCACAGCAATACCTTGTGTTAATATTTGGTAACTGTCTGTCTCACAGATGAGTATTGATTCTACGTTTGTTGAATCGAATAAACAGATTTGTGCTATAACATCAATTTGTGGGGTTTCCAAAAAAAAATTTATAAGAATTTAAAAAGTTAGCATGGCAAGATGACATCAGAATGGTATAATGAGCAGTTTATTAAAACTAAATCCGTGGCTAGCTGAATCATTGATTACATCATCATGAATATTCATGTCATGCCAAGAAGTCCATTTGTTCAGTCATTATGAACAATACTGGGACAGTGTGTAACATGATGCTTTCTTGAATTGACTTGTTCAAGCTGGATTTTGAATGCAATTCAAAAAGCCTATTCCAGAATTTGCTGATAAGCCGATAGTACTTCAACCTCAAATTTCATCAATTGCTAAAATCCTTAGGTAAGTTTTCTCATTTTTAAGCTGAGTGCACCAGCTGAAGGACAAAATCACTAATTTCTATTGGTAGCTGGTGTAGTGATTTAATTTGAAACAATCCATAAACCAACAATTTTAGTTCATCCTAGGGATTCTGACAAAGGAGTCTCTTCAAGATGAATGTTACATCGGTTTTAAAACTCGCACCTTGGTTGTAACTTGTATGAATGCGATAATGTTCTGAATTGTAAGAGAATGTGGTCTTGGATTGAAACTAATGTTACTGCATTTAGATTGTCAAGCAGCAGAAAGTAAATGATTTTATATTAATCGCTTTCACTTCCTACATTTCTGTTGCTGGATTATAACAGTTTTTGACATCAACACCGATTTAAATTAACTCAACTTGACAAATCTTTGCAATGCTTTGTTTCATGTCATTACTTTATATTATTACTTTGGTGCCATTATTCAAACATTATTGTGATTTGAAATGCACTGAAAATGAAATTCTGATTAAATCAAACACAAGTGAAATTCAAAGTTAAGCCAAACATTGAGCATTTGTTGGGGCTATCATGAATCTAAACATATACAGGAGGTGACTAATTTCTTATCAACTTGATTCCACCAAAAGAAGATATCCTGAGTAAATCCAATCTAAATTTTAATCAGTGACTTTATTCCTGTTGGAATCCAATCCATTTCCAGGTAGTGACTGGCTTCCTGTCAAATCACATTTAGTCATGTGGTGGCTTAATTGTTGTAAAATTAAATTCAAGCCAAGTTAAAACCACAATTATCATTGTTTGCTCTTTCAATTCACTCTGAAAACCTGAACACGCTTTACAAATTGAAGGAGAACCTACAGGTTTATTTTGGTTTACTTGAAAGGTCTGAAACAGAATCCTAATCTAAATGTTGGATTTTCTCAGTTTCATTATTTATCTGAATCAATATTCTGATAATAAAAATAGAGAATTTGTGCATGTGTCTCTTTTGAAGTGCAAAGTACCTAAAAAAAAACTCACATCATGACAAATGTTAGTTTCACAAAAAAAATCCACTATTAATAGTTTGATCAACTAATATATAAAGAGTACAACATCACAGCAACTACATGAACATAAAAAGCTGCATTCTTCTTATTTCTTTTCAAAAGCATGTTTACTATAAAATTTTATTTGAATGGTTTGCTTTAAATTAGAAAGAAAGCATCTGTGCATTTGCTTTTGAAAGGATACAGTTGTGGAGCAGTGGGGCTTGCAAGCAAGAGACCATTTTTTCCTTCATCGTCCTGCATTTTTCTCCCCTCCTTGCCTAGCTTTCTAATTCCTTGTAAGGGTGTTGACTGCACTTTGGTACCTAGAAAAGTGCAAATAATTCATAAACAAAGCTGATTTATAGCGTTTGCTATCACAAAAAAAATTCAATTCTGTCCTCAACTGGCATACATTCACATGCACTTTCTGGCTAGAGTTATTAGATTGTTGTTGATATGTAAGCTCTGTTTTTTTTAAATTGATTTGGGATGCCATTGTTGTAACAAGTGAATTGTAAACTCATATTCAGTAATCAACTGTGTGTGCTCTTTATCTTAAGTAATACTCCAAACCTGAATTTTCTTTGTTGATTTCGAATTCATATTTTCACAGCCACAATTTGTGATAAAATAAGTATCTCCAATATCTGAAAGATAAAGAATGCCACATAACTACCAGGAACAGCTTACTTGCTTGTGCTATTAGTTAGAGAATACCGCATAAACAGAAATGTGGAGATAACAAAAGAATGTCCAATTTCAAAAGAAAAGCTATTTGCAAGTTAAATAATTTTTCAAGTCCTTAAAACGTTACAAAACATTTTACCTTCCAATAAACAACATTGACAAACAGTTTAAGATAACTTGAAGTAGAAATCTATTTCTATAATTGAACAATTTTCTTTAGTAGTCAGCAATTTGAAATTGTACATTATTTGCTGGAACCGTGGTTAGTCTTAATTTCTGTATTCCCTACAAAACAAAGTATTTTGCATTTCTAATTTTCTGCCTTGTCTTTCTAACCTTAATGACCAGGGCTTTCCATGTTTGTGCCTTGGAGCCTTGCGTTGTGGTCCTTGATAATGGCTTATTTCCATTTGTTTTTAAATTTATTTTAATTGATTTTAAAAATGAAGCAATCAAAAACTTATGTTGTCATACAGCCTCCTGATTTCGATTTGCCCTGCAGAGTGAACCTTGACAGGAAGTGGCAGTCTATTTGATCAATTTATGGCATCAAATAGAGCTTAATACTGAACTTACTCGTCATGCATATGTGCTATGTTAAACAGATGTCACCAGGTAATGATCAGGGGCAATACTTAGGATTAATTTCAATACTTACCTCTAGTAGTCTGACTAATTTTAATAAATTGACAAACATACACACATACAAATAATCATTTTTAAATTTGAACTTTGGCACTTCAACAAGTTGTTATAATCTGACTTCAAAAGTAAAATAGAATTTGTTGCTGTCTGCAATAGCAGAATAATAACTAATGTATTGATTTAATATTCCATTGTCTTTTTTTAGAGGTATTAATCCTTTGAAATCAATGTGGTAACTGCTCTAAGAAGTACAGCTTAGATTGTCAAATGCGCAGAAGTTAAATATTCATCTGCTTTAATTGACAACAGAAATTTCCTGTCTCAGAAGTTCCAGTGAATCTTAATACAAATTCAAGTCGAGATTGAATTTCATTTTTTTTTGTACATGAAAATTGTTGAGGCAGTCTGGTTGGATTAAATCAGTTGTTAGTTTGTCCATATGATATTGTCATTGTGTTTAGGAAATCACGTCTTTCTGAGAATGTCAGGATGTTTAATATAAAATGATAGTCATATTTGATTTATGGTTTTAATTTAGTTGCTTTAGACTTACAAATGGATATTGTTTCCATGTGATCAATTTTCTTGAGTGTTAATTGTGACTGAATACAATGTTACTTACTTTGTCCTACAGTTCCTAAGAAACTGCTGGGTGAAACCAACCCCAAACCAACTCATTACAAAGGGATTCACCACCCCAATTTTCCGCCACACCCTAAACCATACGATCCTAACATTATAGGTGATGGTGTCTTCCCCCACGATGTGCTACCCTTTATAACAGAAGTGTCTTTACCAGGTATGTCGTTTTCCATTATTTTATAAGGAAATATTAATGGTGACCTCTGGAAAACTGCCAATTTAACTTCTTTCAAAAAATGCTCTTTGTTAATGTTTTGTCATCGCAAAAGCTTATTACTACAGAGGCCCATGAGAGGTAAGGGTGCCGGTCTGGTGACAGGGAAGTAGGGGTGCTGAGTTCCAGTAGTGGGGGAGATGAAGTGTTGGATCAGGGTCTGGGAATTGTAAGGGGTCTTGGGAAGGTGTAGTTGAAAGTGGTGAGATTAGATGTGGGGTTGGTTGTTCAGTGGAATGGTTAGCCAGAAGTTAGACTAGGTATTTAATAATGTTTCTAACGCTTCCTGAGTAACTATTTACTTAAAAACCCGAAACCAAAACCCGACCATATACTGTGATTTAAATGGATACCATTTTGTCCATTTAGAACCATATATATTGGAGTCAATTTTCATGAAGGAAACTTGTGCCTACATCACCTGTTGCTACAACTGAATTGAAGCAGATGAATGCAAGGCACTCTATGCACAAACAAATATTGGGCCGGAACTTTCCATGAAATTGCAATCCCGGGCAGATTGCCACTCAGCTCCTTTTTTTAAAAAAGCGCTCCATGTTTCTGACAGGAAGTTCTGATCAGAGCTCCTTCAGAAATGCAGAACCATGCTTTCATTCTGACAGGTCTCTCATTGCATAGAACAGTTGGGGAAAGCAAACCACACCCCATTTTGCAGCAGTCAGTGGCTATGTTCTGTAATTTAAATGTCCAGTATCACAGTCACTTTGACAGCTCCTGTGAAAGGGTAAATACATCAGGTAAGTGTTTAGTGTAAAAGGATGTCAGGTGGGTAGGGGCTGCATGCCAGGTATGTTAGATGTCAACAAAAACAGAATTTGTTGGAAAAGCTCAGCAGGTCTGGCAGCATCTGTGGAGAGAAATCAGAGTTAACATTTTGGGTTAATGACCCTTCCTCAGAACACTCAGAATGTCAGGTGAGTAAAGAGCCAGGGTACAAGGGACATATATGTCTTGAAGTGTTTTGCGCAGGTCACTGCAAGTGGGATATATTGGGTTGGTGGCATGTGATTTGCTGTCTGGTCTAAGGGAGGATGGGGGCTATCAGATCTAAAGGCAGGAGAGATGCTGGGGCGGGGGAGAAGTCTAGTATTGGGAAATGGGGATGTCTGTCAGGATCCTGGGATGGGGTAGGTGTGACAGGTCTGGTGACAGAGAAGGAGGAGCTGCTGAGTCCTGTAGGTGGGGTATGTGTCAGTCCAAGGGGGAGATGAGGTGTTGGGTCAGAGTCTGGGAATTGTAGGGGGGCTTAGGGAGGTGTAGATGCGAGTGTGAGAGATCATATTGGATTTGAGATGTTCGGTTCAATGGTTACTGAGAAGTTAGACTAGATATTTATTGATGTTTCTAACTTCCTGAGTACCTATTACTTAATGCAGCAAAACCCTCCAAAAACTCTGATTTAAATAGATACCATTGGAGAGTTCAAGGTGCAAGGAAAGTGTCCTGCAGAATCCTAAATTTCTTAAGTAGATCCTTCGGAGTTCACGGATTCTGCAGGATCACCGTTTGCAACTTAGAACCTACACAACATAAATGATTTTCTGGGCAATGAAAATCCAATATCTTTATATTTTCAATGATCGAGCAGTTTCGCAGGAAGTGGGCACCTGAGCTGCATTTAGCTAACAGTGTAACTGTTTAGAAAAAAATATCAAACTTAATCCCAGTCATTTCAGAGAGGCTGCAATGTTCAAAGAAAACTTTAATGGAAACATTAAAATGATAATCTCAAGCTAATTCTCTGTATCACACAATCAATGAAATAATTTGTATTTTATTTGAACAAGACAATTTGGGGCGGCACGGTGGCTCAGTGGTTAACACTGCTGCCTCACAGCGTCAGGGACTCGGGTTCGATTCCACCCTCAGGCGACTGTCTGTGTGGAGTTTGCACATTCTCCCCTTGTCTGCATGGGATTCCTCCAGGTGTTCCGGTTTCCTCCCACAGTCCAAAGATGTGCAGGTTAAGTCGATTAGCCATGCTAAATTGCCCATATTGTTCAGGGATGTGTAGTTTAGGTGGGTTACAGGGGGATGGGTCTGGGTGGGATGTTCTGAATGTTGGTGTGGACTTGTTGGGCCAAAGGGCCTGTTTCCACACTGTGGGGATTCTAATACAAATTTCAGCTACTGAGAAAAGAGCAATAGATTGAATATTAAAGAAGAACACATGGGAAAAAAAGAAGGTGGCTCAGAAGACTGGATTCCTCCCACCCATCTCCACGTTTGAATATCAAACACAATGCACTCATAATATGGTTGTGCATGCTCTTCCCACCTGCCTCCTTGTATACCATTTTACAGTGTGGGGGAGAAACCAATTTGCCAACTTGACCATGGGACGCTCAAATTTCTCATTCGGCCTCCATTGCTGTTTCACACACGGCTAAGGGAGGCCTCTGCCACTTGGATAGCCATTAGCGTGTGCACTGCTGTCAGGCATGAAGGGAATCGGGACTTCAATTGTAGTACCTTGTGCACAGGACACTCCAAAACCATACTTCTCCCTTAACTCTTTCCTCTAGCTTCTCAAACCAAATCCTCCCCACCCCCAATCAACTCCTCACAGTAGGCTGTCAGCCAGGCCCACCAATACACTGAACCTACCTTGAAGTCTGGCTCCTTAACCTTCACTTCTTTAGGGACTGCCAAGGACTCCAGTATTGGCCACCACTGGAATCTGACATTGCTGCGAGTACAGAACTGACGCCAATCAGATTGGAATCATAAATATTTACAGTGTGAAAAGTTTTATAGTCAGAACATCTGTAAAGATGTAAGATATCATAATAGATACGTAGTATTGTGTGCACACACACGAGCTCATAATAACTGTACCTTTCGGGTGATGTAGGAATTAGAGGATAATTATAATTATGTAAGATGTAATTGAGATACCACATGAAGTCAAATTCTGTTCCTATTTTTATGTAACGCTGAGTAAATATTAATATTTACGGTTAATAGAATTTTCAGAAGTTTGGGAAGTGGAGTTGGATAGGTCATATGATGGGTGAGCAGCTGACAAATCTGAAGCTGGTATTCTATTGTTATCACTATTATCATGCAATGTATTAAGTTTATAAAGACAACTTCCATTGCAAGGAGTTTATATAGGAATTTATGGTGGAACGGTTGACAGGATATATATGAAGATATTTGATCTCAAATCTATAAATAGATAACCAGAGATCGTTGCAGCTTTCAAAGTATCAATTATTTTTAAAACTTTGAACATTGTTGATAATCCGTTGTTTAATTGTTTCACTGATAATCCTGTGTCTCTATCACATACTGCTCAAACTACATTTTTGAAGATAGTGTATAAATTGGTTTGCAATCTCCAAAATTTAGATTTTGTTTGGCACATACAACTCTAAGCAAGTTACTAACATTTGGGTGTCCACAAACATTACTGTTTGTTATCAAATTTCACCTGAGAATATTGTGTTATCTGTAGTTGGTGGCTTAACTACCTTAGCACAGAGTTTGGCAGTATTCTCTATCTACCATTCTGTGGCTTCTTTGTAACTATCTAGACTCATTATCCAACCCCATCCATAGGGAAGACAGTGATGAAGTGGTAATGTCACTACGCTAACAATCCAGAATCCCAGGCCTGTCAGTGTGACCACTGTCAACTGTCATAAAAACACATTTGGATCAATAATATCCTTTAGGGAAGGAAATCTGCCATCACTACCTGGTCTGGTCTACATATGACTCCAGGCCCACAGCAATGTAGTTGACTCTTAAATGCCTCTGTGCAATTTGATTATTATCCTTGAGAAGGTGACAGTGAGCGACGTTATTGAACTGCTGCAGTCCATATTGAGTAGGTACACCACACTGCTGTTAGGAAGAGAATTCTATGATCTTGCCCCAATGTGAGTGAAGGAGCAGTGATGTAGTTTCAATTCAGGATGGCATGTGGCTTGGTGGGGCTTCCATACATCTGCTGCCCTTGTCTTTCTAGGTAGTAAAGATCATGGGTCTCATAGGTGAACTTGCGGGAGGCTAGGTGAGTTGTTGCAGTGCATCTTGTAGATGGTACACACTGCTGCCACTGTGCATTGGTGCAAGTGGATTTTTAATAGAGTGCTAATCAGTTGGACTACTTTATCTTGGATTGCGTTGAGCTTAGTGAGTATCATTGCAAAAAGACACGTTTTGTCAAAACTTTTTGTTTTGTACTCCAGGATAATTTGCAAGAATACCAATGTAAATGGAGAATAATGTTTATACTGCAGAAGAAAAAATGTGCTGAATAGTTGGCCAATAGACTCTGTGGTAGAGGCAACACCTGATGAGTGCATGAGGAAAAGTTTTGACAAAATGTCATTTTTCAGCAATACTCAAATTCTTGAGTGTTAGTTCTGCACTCATCTAGGCAAGTGGAGAGTATTCCATTATTTATTGATGATTATCATACATTGATGGCTATTATCTTTGCTGTTCCCCTCAAGTGAAAATCCTCTCTCTCAGCTTTATTAAAACCTTTCATAATTTTAAAGAGCTTTATTTAGTCAGACCTCAGCATTCTCATTTGTGCCATTTGACGGCCTGCTGTCTTCAAGCATTCCAGTGCCTGTGATACACTCAAATGTTGGGAAGCTGGACATGTGGGAAATCCCATGTTAGGAATTCTTGATGCCATCCTGACTACCAGTCTGGTGCAGTCTGAATCGATCTCGTGATATCTCTGAGAAACAGCATCAGTGTCCTGGCCTAATGTCCAACCCTTCTGCAAACTCTTGCCGTGTTACAGTAAGAGTAAATTGGAAGGATTAGAGATCATTGCCTCCATTGTACCTAATTTTATTTAAGAACTGAAATGTAGTGAGATTTATTTCAGCTCTTTTGTAACAATCAAGTGAAGTGTTTGTGTTTGAAAACCAATCAGGATTTCTTGGCTAACTTGTTTTAGAACATATTAAAATTTAACTGCTGGAGGCAAAGCCTGGGAAGCAGCAGATAACATCTCAATGCTTCTTTTATAGAAGCATTGGCAACCCTCAGCAAATTTCAATTAAATTATTAACATTCCTTATCTATAACTTGAGAGGAAGTTATATCTTGTCTTGGATAAATATAATAAAAGAGCCTTTGAAGTAGTAATAAAATCCATCAGCTCTGTCTTTTAGTTACAGCAAAATAGTGAACAATGGTTTAATGTGCCTGGTCAAAAGTCTAGAAAAAGTTACTATTACATACATTGGAATCACACATGGTGGATTGTTGCCCAAAAATACACCTGTATATCTATGCTCTTTCACCTATATGACTTTAAGTTATTGTTTGAAGTTTTTTTGTTAAGTACATTGTGACTTTATGATTTTCAAATGAATAAGAATGTTTTGTAGCATTGAACACTATTTACTAGGCAATACTTAACTCGATGTTTTACTGTATTTATGTAGAAGAAAAGAAGAAAGAAAGATCCGCTTCTGATTACCCAATAGATGCCAAACCATTACCAGCCCCAGTGGATAAGATTGACAAGCAACTTGTTGAAACAAGGGGTATTCGGACTGAGATGGCATTATTAAGCAACCTTTTGGAAACCTATACTTATATCATAGGTAGGTCAATAATTCCATTTTGTTTTATAACTTAGTGTAAAAAATAATATGGTGGTGGAAGAAACTTTCTTTAAAGATAAAGAGTATCCTAATGTGCTTCATATATAATTATGAAGAAAATGCATGCAGAATTAAGAAAAAAGAGCCTAGTATTTGAAATCTTGGTCAGAGAATGGGTTCTATGAAGGTTTTTAGTGAGGAGGGAGATGTAGAAAGGCAAAGACTCTATGGAAGGCAATGCAGAGATTAAGCCTTACATCAGTTGAAAGTTTTGCTGTCAGTAGTAACATAAACCAATGAAATTTTAAGAGGCACAATCAGAAAAATCAAAGCTTGGTGGTTGGAGTTGAAATTAGGAGAAATCAGAGCTGGTATGGTCAAGGCTATGCTGTTGCTGAATCTGTATCTTTGGTGTCATGTGTGTGTGTCAGTGATGTTTGATCTGCTATTGACACCAGGTATTTTCTCAAGTGTTAGGGTGGCATGTTGCAATTAGATATCAAACATATGTTTTAGGATCTCTTAGGGAAATTGGGCTGCCCTGAACAGAGAAATTGCTGCATTGCTCCAGTCAGGTTTTCCATGTATCAAAATGGCCTTGCAAGTAGATGCCACTGAAGAGGTGGCCTTTTTAAAAAAAGTTTAATATCGAGTTAGAAGGAACTGAGCGTTCACATTCAGAATCATGCATCTTCAGTAAACAAAAGATATTTGAATCTGATGTATATGTAACAGACTTTATTGATGGACAGTAGTGACCAGCCTAATTGTGCAAAAGGATCAGTTATTTTGATATTTGTGTATTTCCCTCTCTGAAGAAATGTTGAAAATCATGTACCTTATACATCATATTTTGCCAACACTTCATCTAGCCAATATTTCAATCATCGCAATCCTGGAGCTTCCCTCAACGTCCGCTCATCACTGCCACTCACATAGACACAATTGGTGTGGATTTATCATTCACAGCATTGACTCCTGCCAAGTCACTGCCATGCATAGTCCTTGGAGGCCTGTGCAGACCAAAGCAAATTAGCCAGATCATTGCTCGAGTTTCTCCTCAATACTGGCCAAGAGAGAAAGTAAGTTCATTTACCTACGAATATTAACAAGAGCCGTCTTCATTGATGAAAGCAGTGATTTGTCCTGGTTCCAGTGTCGTAAGAGGATGAATAAACTTCTGTGCTCTGCCAGGACATATACTAGTGCCTACTCAATGTGTCATACTCCTGTGGGTGTGAGCTAGCATTGTAAGGTTGCCACTGCACAAGACTGCAGAATAGGAAGCTGAATGCCAGGCATCTCTGTCGCTACTTTGCAGTTAGCAATGAACTTCAACTGGCACCATAATGGATGCTTTCTCTCAAACATCAGCCAGTGTTCACATTTAAAACATAAAACTGCCTTCAGCATTCAGCAGCTCATATTGTATCAGACTACTGATCTTTCATCACAGCTAGGAGAATATACATAGCTTTTCACCAAAGGCTTGCATGGGATAGGACACAATTAAAAAAGATGGCCTTTTGACCTGAGCCCTTCTTGGTCCCCAGCCCGGTTTACTCTCATCAACTAGAATAGCAGTCTCATTAGGCAGGCTTATTGACTGGTCAAGCTTCACCCCTAACACTAGGGGCTGAATCTTATCTATCTTTGGCTATGTGGGAGTTGTATTGATTTCTTTGGAGAAATTCTTTCTGCGAGGCTGAACGATTTCACGTCGTATTTTCCCAAATGCACCTCATTAACAACCTGCTTTGATCCTATGGTGTTTTTTATGACTGATTCTATCCCCATCTTACCACATGCTATTCCCAGGACAATTCACCACTTAATGGATGTCTGCCAAAAGACCTGCACCCCTTGTATCCATGCCATCTTTGAGAGACTGCTGTGCATCCAGCCAAGTGGTAGGAATCCTGCGTTGCCTCTCATAAGCAATGTAATGGTGTAGCAGTTACAAAGTCATGCTGCCCATGGGACATAGCTGACATGACTGACACTCCCTCATACAGCCCATTCTTTCAACCGCCAGACCACAGAGTATCTACCTGATCTTTAATACATCCGTCTGAAGACTCTCTGAGTCCCTGATTCTCTTTCCACACGGGTATTGGTTAGTTCTGTTGACTGGATGGCTGGTTTGTGATGCAGAGTGACGCGAATAGCTTGTGTTCAACTCTGGCACTGGCTGAGGTCACCATGAAGATCATCTATCAACTTCACCCCTCACCTGAGGCATGGTGACCATCAGGTTAAACTCACCACTAGTCATCTCTTTCTAATGAGAGATCAGGCCTATGGCCCACTGGCAATTTTACTTTTACTCTTTCCCCAATACCCATTGCTTGCCTGTACCTTGAATTTGTCCAATAGGGGATCAGCACCTGCAGGCAAGCATTTGGACAAGTCCAAATATGATCATTTGTTGGCAGCCAGAAAAACGGAACACAAAGGAAATAAAAACAAGATATGGTTTGCATCCACAATGAGAAACAAATTACAGTCAAGGTCCATGATTGTCTTCTGCACCCAGCAAGCATCTACTGGATCCCAGTCAGGTCCTGTTTGTCTTGTAGTGTCTGATGCAGCTGAGCTCTGAACTGCTCAGGGAGACCTTCCGCCAGCTCAATGTCCTTATCCTTCTTCTCAGATTGCTGCTCCTATTCCCTGGTCCTCAGCATCTATTATGTTCCTTTTTTGCCTACTCCAATTGTGCACTGCTCAATTGTGCAGAATACAGCAAGCCAAGATGGTGTAGCATATTCTGTGTGGACTATGCTGGATTCCCTCTCAGTCTGCTCCAAGCAGTGGAACTATATCTTCAGCAGTCCTATTGTCTGTTCCACCTTGGCCTTGAATAGAGCATGTGTCCAACTTGGTAAAGATCCCATGCTGGCTAAATAATCAACATCCAAAAAGGAGTGCCTATGCACTCCAATCTCCTTGCCATCCCAGACCCACATCAACCATTTCAATTTCCATCATCATACTTACCTGAATTATGAGGCAGAAATGATCCCCAAGTTCCAGATAGAACCATTAGAACCTCCATAAATGATGGGGCACTTTTGCCCAGCATTCACCTCCTTTAAAGTTATTGTTGCTAATTTTTGCACCATTGAGATGACAATATTAGTTGAATTAGCATCAATTACATGGTTCAATCTTCCTTTTGACAAATATTTGATGCCTAAGCACGTTGACACAGCATACATTGCACTTGCGTGATGAAATGTTTGCAAATGAAATGTAGCTGGAGTTTGCAAACCTATGCTTCATGTACTTGCCACTCTAATTTCCTAATGTCCAACAGATGTGGATTCTGTGCTTTCACCCATCAAAGCCACTGTGACTTTGTTCTCCCAGGGCATTATTCAAGCCATTTGTAAGTTGCATTCCATATTTAGAGAACAGCAAGTGATGGCAGGCACTGCAGTAGTCAGCACTCTGCCTCATTTCCAGGTACCAACACACACAAATACTCACACTTCATACTTCACACACACTTCGCACACGCACTTCACCACTTCACAGTCACACTTCACTCTCGCACTTCACTGTCACACTACACACACACTACACACGCACACTTCACACGCACACACACACAATCACAACCCATTTTCACAATATGGAGATCCACCACACTGAATTTCACTTTTAATTCTCCTCGGTGCCACTTGGTCCCCATCATTACACCTTCATGATGCCCACCCTGCTCCTTCACTGCTCCTCTGAGGCCATGATCAAGGTCACTACCAATAACTCCCCTATCTCCTGTAGCCTATCATGCCATCCATTGCTGTTCTGCACACCCTCATGCATCCTCAGTTTCACTCTGTCACTGTCCTTGGGTTCCCATCTCAACAATGCCTTTGTTTCCCTCCCCACCCTTCATGCTGGACCCACTCCCCAGCACTTTTTGCAGTGATTCCCCCTGCTGCCTGTACAGGACCCCCTTGCACCCTCCTTAATGATCAATGAACACACCCCTGGGATTATGTTTCCCAGACCTCTGACTAACTTTGACAAGCAACCCATAGGCATGACTGAGAAAACCCTGATAGTTGTCCTTCCAGCTCCTCAACAAATCGGATACAATTCCCCTGACTGCTCTGCCTGGATCCAAAAGGACAGACCGTTGCCCACTCCCTGAAGTGCCGCTGGATAGTTTGCCTGATGGTGAACATCCCGAGCTGATGACTGACCATTACAGTCCCTATATTGTGCACGGACTCTTCCCATGACTGACAGTACTAGGACTCCTGAACAACCATTGTCCCTGCCTTGTCTAGACTGAAGACTACCCCATCCCCTTACAGGCAGCAGTGCGTTTCTGCATAAGCAGCTGCCACATGCTGCAGGTGTTAGATTGACATCTGCTTGTGCTGTACAGCAAGACACCCATGCTCCCAGACCAATCATTACAGCCAAGCCTGGCCAGCAGACTATCTGTCTGTTTGAAAGAACACATCAGTGTAGCATACTGATAACCTTTGGCTCTGGCTGAAGTGCCAGCGTTCTAAGGCAGAATTGCAAGCATGCCAGTAGGCAGTCAGTGTGCAAGTGCTTAGAGAGCAAACAAGCAGCCCTGAGATGCAGCCTGATTCAATCCATGAGCTGGGTACCTGTTCCTGTGCAGAAAGTGCCCTGCTGCAGCCTTTCAATGCCAGTTACTGATGCTCTCTGCAATGCAAGACTGTGGTTACTGAATGGCCTGCTGGTGGATCAGAGAAATGCCACAAGGGTCATGAGACAAATGCCAGTTATCAATATCTGGGGTGCCAGTGGATCATGTTCTGAGATGTTGTTTGATTTTACCCCGGTTCAGAGCCAGTGACAAGCTGAAGTCATTGATACATGCATTGGTTTCCATATTGAAATTTTTCGACATCAGGATTATTTGGTGTGTTCAGTAAGAAGAAGTAGAATATTAATGAGCTAACAGCAACAAAGTTGCTGGAAAAGCTCAGCAGGTCTGGCAGCATCTGTGAAGGTAAAAACAGAGTTCACGTTTCGGGTCCGGTGACCCTTCCTCAGGACAAGCCAAGTTGGACTGCTTACAAGGTATTTTTTCAAAAGAATATGAATACATGTTTTCTTCTAAGCAGTTTCCCATATGCTATTGTTGCTGGAGGGTTAATTGATACTGTGCATAGTGTATATTGTATGAATGGGCACAGAAGGGCCATGAGTTGTCGTGGAGAGCATGAAGGGTCATTGGGGTTATGAGGGCATTGATTTGGCATGGGGGAGGTTGCATGAAGGTGGCAAAGGAATTGGTGGGAGGGGGATTGAATAATGGAACATGAGATATGAGGGCTGGAGGTCCTAAAATGTAATTAAGCATATGGGACAGAGGACAGCATTTTAACCAGCCCACCTCAGCATGAAGCTTCCGATCTGCTTTTAGGAGCAGCGGGTCTGACCCTATGCTCTCTGCCCAGAGTCAACATTGTGTGTAAAGGGGTATTTTACACCAAGACGGGTCTGCTGAATAAGTAAACGTCCCAACTTGGACCACCAACATTGTAGTAAAAATACGGCTGTTAACTATGTTTCTCTCATCAAGGATGCTGCCATGCTTATGGAGCATTTCCATAATTTTCTATTTTCACTCTGTATTGTAGGAAAATTGGTTATTGGAGGTTTTTCTAATTAGGAGAACAATAAAAGCTTTGGGAATTCTAGTTCTGGAGACATTGAAGAAAATATAAATGCAGTGTTATTTACCAGTACCTGTGGTTTAAGGTGATGAATGATCAGAAGTCAGGAGGGCTGCTTCTGATGGAAACAGAGCTTTTGGGGCTGGTTTATGGTTATTCTTGTAAAATGTTTTTGATTATTTTGTATATTATATCATAAGTTTAGAAGTTAATATTGGTGTGTGCGGAACTGTCGCAACATTTTTTTTTATTGGTGCTTTTTGCTAAAATATGTTGACAATGGTTTTGTTTAGAAGTATAATGACAGTGAAAAAATAAATTGACAAAATTTTACATGCGACTGTAACATGCTGAAACTGATCCTTGAAAATAAGTGATGGCTATAATACAGGTGCCAAATGCATTAAATGTTTTGAGGACTTTTATTTGCATTTAAAATTATTCTAATATTATCAGTGACGATTAGACTGCTAATGTGCTGAACACACTAATAGTGCAAAAGCTGCAATAACACCAAACTTTTGTTAGCCTAGGGTTCTTCAGGGTGATCTGAGTCAATTTTACATCTGTAGACCTAGTGGAAAAGATACAGACAGGTGGTGAGGATGTTGTACTGCATTCCTGCCTGTCAAAACCCTTCTCCTCCACCCCCATCTCCCTGTTCTATCATTTCAACTCAGATCATGGTTCTTTTGTTCCCTCAGTCAGGTGGAGACCTACTTCACATTCAAAGTCATAATAACTAAAACATTTGAGAGGCCTGCAAGGGGCCAGACATTACAGCAAGACCTGGAGCTTCACATTAGTGAGGCATAAGGCTAGACAATCAACAGTGTGCTCAGTATGTAGTAGTATTTTAACAAGTGGATGTTGGCTACAACAATGCCTGGATTTTTCAGTAATCAGTGGAGACCCTGCTCCCTTGAACAATCAATAAGAAACAAAAGAATGTTGAACACAGCTTGTCTAACTATTTCATATTTGCTAAGATATTCAATATGCAATGTATAATAATTCCTAAATGAACAGAAATTAAGGTGTACTTTGTATTTTAGTGCCGATGTGATACAAGAACCTTAAGACTAAAGTTTATACAAAAGTATTGCTTAATATAGAACAGAAATGTTCATCTGCAAGCAGTAGTTAATAATTAAATATCCTGTTTTGTCAAGCTGCGTACCTTGTTGAATTATAAACTGATTATATCTAACCATATGTTAGTGGATATTTATCAGTATTATAATTATGTTTTTCTCTCTCCAAAGTCAACCTTGTAAATAGAACTTAGAAATAAAAGATAGATAACTGCAGATTGATTTCCCATTTTGAATAGTTGTCTGATGACAGGGTATCCATTTAGAAAAAAACCTCAGATGTGTAACCTCACAAGGAGTTTTGCAGACCTGAAAGTTTGTTGGTAATTCTTTTTATTCCAACAAATTGGTTTTTGAAGCATGTCATTCATTAGTCATGAAAAGAAATGTTGGAGTTTTAATTTAGTTAATTTTCCTGCATAAATAAAGCTGGCAAAAAGATGAAGCCTGAAATATGCACTGAGTCACTTAAAGTTAATGTTTATTTATAGTCTTGTTATTTCATTAGAAGGTGCTGTGCCTTTTACTGCTGCTTGACTTGGACAGCCAACAAGAGTACAGTTAGAAACAGTGGGTGGAAAGCTGTAAATGCCCTCCCACTGGCATCTGACCTCTTCCATGTCTATGCATTAACCAGGCGCTTTAATCAATTTCACATGGTAACTGAATGAAAGTAAATCTGTTGGACAATTTACAAATAGCTGGGCTAAGCACGTCTTTACATCACAAAATTTGCTGGGTTTGATCTGTAGCTTCAGCAAGAAAAACATGTAGTATGAATGAAACAAATTTGAACTTAAAATGACCACTTACAGGAAATACTGGTATGTTTAAATATGTTCAATTATATTTTCTTACATATGAACTTTGTTGTATCTTAAAACAAAAGTAACTGAATATGCTTCCTCAGTTTCAATTTCTATGTCTTGTGGTACTTGAGGATTATGTTGGCTACAGGCAATAGAATAAATTTAGGTTCAAGCAGTTAAAGTTTAACAAGGCAGCATGGCAGGACACTTGGCTACAAAGAGGAGAATTTCATTTTGATTGATGAATTATTATATGTGTTAAACATTAACTACTATAAATAATGAAACTGAAGTTTATCTGTAGAAACCTACCCTATCACTTAGGTTACCATTGATTTAAATGAAAGGATAATTTGAAAATACTCATAACAACAGTGAGTCAATAAATTTGTCAACAAGAGTGACAGCATGGGCTTCAGTGAATGGCCAAATAAGTAAAAGTTTTATCTCACCAACAACTTGAAGGGTACATAAGCCTTTTGGCAAACACGGAAGGGTTGGCGCCAATTGAAGCTCACAATTAAGAAGTATAGACTGACTTTTGAACCGTTAAGAAGTTATTACTTTTTTGTATTAAGCACTGGAATTTATATTATGCTGTTGAAAATGATAGGAATTCCTGGGCTGCTTGAATTAGGTCAGCTTGGATGAGGGCTCAGGAAGAATGGAGAGTGGAATTTTAATGAACATTAAAATTAAAAGAATTTAAAGATACACACTTTAACAGTTATTTTGAAGACTGTTGACAGAAATAGTTGTTATTTCTCAACTATTATCAATCGGAAGACATTTTAACAAAATGTTTAGAAGAGCATTTGGGAGTACTAGAAACATTTCTGTTATTACATTAGCAGAAACAAATACAACTATAGAACATGGAAAACAGGGGGAACGTGATCTAATCATTGCAGATAGCTGGGCTTTTAATCCTCATCAGAGTATTTGTACCTGATGAGATGATATTTATATTGGTTCCCATTGTATAAGAAATGGATGTAGTCCTGAAAGATTCAATTAGCTTTTGATGTAGTTCCTTGTATCTACATATATATTACAATCTCAAGCACTGCCATGTCTGGGATAGTACTGAGCAATTTGGTTACAAACTGTTGCATGTTTCTCTTAGTGTGTAATTCTGCAAGTGACCCCAATATGTTGGAGTGTGAGCCCTTTCTCCCATCAGGTCACAGACCATGTTGCAGTGAAGATATCATGAGCATGTCTATTAAAGTTATTTTGCATACTAGCTGTGATGCTTAACACAAAACAGAATTATATGAATATAAATATATGAATAATGCACTTTCATTGCTGCCTATTGAGAAGTGTGGGGCTGGACTATCATGTCCTTCTGGTGAACTGAAAAAGAAAATTTGTGTGTGGTTCATGATTGATGCAGGAAAGAAGGGTGGGTGCACAAACATTTAAGGAGGTTACAATATGTTTCTAAATGAAACAATTGTATAACACAAATCAATTCTGTTTCCTTTACAGACAATCCTGAGAAAACTGCTTTGTATTTTGTGTCTGGTGTGTGTATTGGACTGATTTTAACACTGTGCGCTCTGGTCGTGCGGATATCCTGCCGGACAGATTTTAAAAAATCAGGGGTAAAAAGTGCAGTTGATGGGGATAGTAATGATGATGATGACAGTGATGATGATAACTCTGATACTACCTCCGATCTATCTGCAAGGCGGCATCGCCGCTTTGAGAGAACTTTAAATATGAACGTTTTTACCTCGGCTGAAGAATTGGAACGGGCGCAGAGATTGGAAGAGAGAGAACGGATAATTCGGGAGATTTGGATGAATGGCCAGCCAGATATTCCTGCCACAAGAAGTTTGAATCGCTATTACTAATATGTTATCTGGATCCAAAATGATGATATGGTAATGATTTGAAAGACATGATGGTGCTTTTAGCATCCAATGGCTGTATGTGACTGGAGCTATAGTTATCCTCAGCTCTGGGTGCACCTCCAGATAATAATGGAATAAAGAACTTTAATTTCACTAAGCATTTGAAAGAACTTCTACAAGTATTAAAATCAATTTGTTCTCCTTAATATCTGAAGAATGAATTGTTACCATATCCACTGAATAATCTCATCCTTAATTCATTAAGGAATTTACCTTTATTTAACAAATTTGTAGATCTATTCTCCAGTGGCAAAACTGAACTGGTGCCTCAGGGATAAAATCCTGCTATTTTATTTGTTAAAGTTTAATTGAGAGTTTTCATATTTTTCAGGATGCATCACTGATTGTACACAACATTTGGGAAAAAGGAAAAGCCTCAAAGAGGTTAAATAGTGATTTTAAGAGAAAAATTCATGAAAGTGCCTTTGCCTTTCCAACTTGTTTAATGTGGTAATTGGAAAGTTCTGCAGCCAACATTTTATTATATTGACAAAACATTATAAATTACAAAATTAGGATGCATGAATGTAATGTGCCAAAGCTTGTTTGACCAAAACCAAAACCATTATCTTTTCTTGGATAATGATTTACAAAGTGAAACAAGTATCAATCTAATTCTGAATGTTGTTATTCTTCTTGGATCTCAGCATTGAGATAGTCAGGACCCTTGACAAGATGCTGAAAAATAATCAAATCAGTTTGCCCAGTTTTCTTAGCATCTGCTTGAGTTTCTTTTTAGTCCCATGTTATCAATGTGGTAATATAAAGAAATATTGCATATGTTAGATGTCTTAAAAAAAGCAAAAATGCTCAAGAAATCAAACTGTTTTTCTACTTCAGATGTTGACTTGCTTTGTATTTCTAGTACTTTCTATTAGTGGTATGAGTCACACTGATACTTCAGTTTACTTAATGAAGTATTGTAAGGCAATTTATGCTCAGCTTTTTTGACATACAGAAGAACTGAGCATATAGTCATGCAGTTTGATTTTATTTGTTACTGCAATAAAACTTGGCTCCAATTTAAAAAAAAATTGAGAAAATCTATTTCATCTAATTGTGACTAGAATCTCTCTTTGACAAATCTCTCTTTGACGTTCCACTAAAGATTTGTGATGGATTAACTAGTTTTATATATTCAGGAACTTAAACCACAAAACCATGACAAAATACTTGATATTTTACTATGTAAAAAAGTTGTAATTTTAAAACACAAAAGAACACTATTAAAGCTATTAAAATACAAATTGTTTTTCAACTTATGTGCATCTGTATGTTTTTGTAATAAATTGGCTGTTGAAACACTTGGTGCTGTTGTTAAATTTAGTTTGTTGCCACAACTCTGGAATATGTTACGGTCTGCTACCTGACACTCAAAACGACTCTTTGGCTCGGTGATCGCTTCCTACTTATGATTCAAGAGGTGAGATATTTAAATTTACCTCAAACATCTATCAATGAATTGAAGAATGCACGTTATATGCACAATGCACTGATCTTCTGTTTGTACTTGAAGTGATAGGACCAGAATCAGGAACTTAATTAGGCAGTCGGTGAATCCTTCAAGGGAGCTATCACAGTATGAGAAATGATGTTAGTTTTATGTCCTGATTCAGGGTCAAACAGACAAATGTCTTAAGGGTCAAATGATTACATCTGTATTTTGGGCCTACGTATAAACAGAGAATGAGACTAAGTTGGAGATGTGTGTTAGGTATAGGCACAGATTTGAGTCTAAATGCAATGTTTCTTGCTTTTTGTCTGCAAGGGAATTACAAATGTTTTAAAGTAATAGATCTGATTGTTTTTTTGGTTCACTTTTTGAAAGTGTATATTTGATTTTGTTTGAGGAACACTGCAACTTAGCTGTTTTTTGTTTTTTCATTCATGCCTCATTTTTCCCATAGAATCATAGAATCCCTACGTTGTGGAAAAAGGCTATTCAGTCCATTGAGTCTGTACTGACCCTCTGAAGAGCATCCCACCCAGACCCAACCATCCCATCCCATATCTATAAACCCTGCATTTACCATGGTTAATCCATCTAAACTGCACATCTTTGGATTGTGGAAGAAACTGGAGCACCCAGTGGAAACCCACGCCCATATGGTGAAAACATGCAAACTCCACACAGACAGTGACCCAAGGCTGGAAAATGTTTCTGAAGGGTCCTGACCCGAAACGTCAACTTTCCTGCTCCTCTGATGCTGCCTGGCCTTCAGCGTTCCTCCAGCTCCACACTGTGTTGTCCATATTTTGATGTTCAATTCTTCTTGTAATAAAGATAGCAGTCCATCTGCCTTCTTGGTTACTTTGATGTACTTGCAAACTAAGATTTTTTGATCCATGTGCGAGAATACATGGTACAGAATTAATCGAAAATGTGCTTGAGCTCACAGAGAGAAACCCTCCAGAAAACTCCCCAAAATTGACATTTAGCCGAACCTTTGAAAATTCAGTCACATATTCTACTCTTCAGTCATTAGGGTTGTCTGGAGTGAGTCTGAAACATTTTATCTTTCAGAAATGAATGCTAACATTATGTCAATGACAAAATTTTTTTTGTAAATTTTTCATTTCTTTTCAAACTCTGCGTAAAAGGGTCTTTGATTGGCATAAAGACCGAAAGAACTGCGGATGCTGTAAATCAGGAACAAAAACAGAAGTTTCTGGAAAATCTCAGCAGGTCTGGCAGCCTCTGTGAAGAAAAAAAATCGTCCTGTCACCAGACCCAAAACGTTAACTCTTATGTTTTTTTCACAGATGTTGCCAGACCTGCTGAGCTTTTCCAGCAACTTCTGTTTTTGTGTCTTTGATTGGCATGATGTGATAAGAGTATCCCTTCAGGAATGTGTTTTGACACCTTATATTTTTATAATTTGCATCAATGACTTGGATAAAGGAAGGAAAGACATGGTAGCTAAATCACAGATAACACCAACATAGCAAAATATGTTGTAAAAAAGGCATAAAGGTGGCTCAGTGGTTAGCACTGCTGCCTCACGGCGCCAGGGACCTGGGTTCGATTTCACCCTCAGGTGACTGTCTGTGTGGAGTCTGCACATTCTCCCTGTGTCTGCATGGGTTTCCCTCCGGTTTCCTCCCACAGTCCAAAGATGTGCAGGCTAGGTGGATTGGCCATGCTAAATTGCCTGTAGTTTTCAGGGATGTGTAGGTTAGGTAGGTTATAGGGGGATGGGTCTGGGTGGGATGCTCTGAGGGTTGGTGTGGACTTGTTGGGCTGAAGGGCCTGTTTCCACACTGTAGGGATTCTATGATCTAATGCCCAAATCCCCTGCATTTCATAATTTTGCAGTTCTCCATTTATGCAATATTCTGATTTTTCATTCTTTCTGCCAAAGTGAACAACTTCACATTTTCCCACATTATATTTTATCTCAAGGTTTTCTGTTGTCTACTTAACCTGTCTGCAACTTCTTTATGCCTTTTTTACAACATATTTTGCTATGTTGGTGTTATCTGTGATTTAGCTACCATGTCTTTCCTTCCTTTATCCAAGTCATTGATGCAAATTATAAAAATATAAGGTGTCAAAACACATTCCTGAAGGGATACTCTTATCACATCATGCCAATCAAAGACACAAAAACAGAAGTTGCTGGAAAAGCTCAGCAGGTCTGGCAACATCTGTGAAGAAAAAATAAGAGTTAACGTTTTGGGTCCGGTGACAGGACGATTTTTTTCTTCACAGATGCTGCCAGACCTGCTGAGATTTTCCAGAAACTTCTGTTTTTGTTCCTGACATAATGTTAGCATTCATTTCTGAAAGATGAAATGTTTCAGACTCACTCCAGACAACCCTAATGACTGAAGAGTAGAATATGTGACTGAATTTTCAAAGGTTCGGCTAAATGTCAATTTTGGGGAGTTTTCTGGAGGGTTTCTCTCTGTGAGCTCAAGCACATTTTCGATTAATTTTGTACCAGTACAAATCTCATTGTCTTGTGCTTACCAGCGGTAAAAGTGCTTGCCACTGCTTTTTCTGGCTTTCCCACTGCCAGCATTATATTTACAGCCTAGCTGTGCCACCCGGCCTCACTCACTCATCTCCAGTGTCCATCACTAAGTTGGTGGCTAAAAGGAATTGACACACTAAAACAGTCTTCAGTTAAGTTGAAAAACACTGGATCAGGCAGCCTGTCCCCAACAATACCAGGGCAGCCATTGCTACCAGGTGGATCTTCAATGGGCCATAAATAATAAGGCACACTGTCACCTTGGAGATATTGGTTTTATTGGATAATTTCTTCACATGCCAGCTGACACTGCCAACATGTGTGAGATAACAGCACATGTGAAGCAGAACCTTCAGTTCGCAATTAAGTGGCTCATCTGGGCTGCCAGTTGGTGGTCAATTCTCCATTTCCATTTATGCTGTTTCCTGCCAGCCAGCCAATCTTCTATCTCTGCTAATGCATTACCCCCTACACCATGAGCTTTTATTTTCTTCAATAATCTTTGAAGTGGTACCTTTATCAAATGCCTTCTGCAATTCGAAGTATAGTACATCTGCAGGCTCCCCTTTATCCAGAGTGCATATTATACATTCTAAGAACTCCAGTAAATCAGTTAAATATGATTTCTCTTTGACACAGCCATGCTGACTTTTTCAATTATCTTCCAGTTTTCTAATGCATAGTTGTAATCTCTCTAATGATCGATTTTAACACCTTCCTCATGACATGTGTCCAGCTAACTGGCCCATAATTTTCCGTCATCCCCTTCACTCCCTTGTTGAATAGAGGGGTTCTTTGGCTTAAAAAATGGCAAGTTAGTGGGTTCAAGAACTTTTCTAGAATAAATTAGGGTAGAGAAGTTGAACACCCTTAAATTTGAAAGCATATGAAAAGGTTACATAATTCTATGATGTAAAATGTTCGCCTCACATTGTCTTAACTGAAAGCATGAAAAAGAACCAATGCCTTCAGAAAACATACTTTCTTTACAAATTAGATTTTATCCCAAATTGCTGTGAGACATTGTAATAAGAATAGGCCGCAGGAATTCACTGACATCTGGCAAGCAATTAGAAAATGACTGTAAAGAAGTCCATAGTAGGGGGTGGCAGCAGCATGACTTGAATTGGTTTTGAAGGACTGCTGCACCCACAGTCATGATCTATATGGTTTTTCCTGCTTCATTCCATTCAATTTACTCGAGCGGTAAGACAATAGCTTCTTAGTTGTGTTCAGCTCTAGCAGCCACGTTTTATACCTCAGGGAATTATGATGAATGAAATGGCACTTGACCAGGTACTCTTAAAAGTAGGACAGGTTTCAAGAGCCAAGTTGACATAGTACCATAACTTCACCATTGCTTTCCTTCGCACTGGTTGCTGTGATACAGATTCCAATAGTTCATCAGTAATTCACCAAAACCTAAACGGTGAGATCATAGGCTAATCATGCGTGTAGATTCCCTGTTGTCATCCAAAATCCATAAACATTTATTATCCACAGGGGACACTGGATTTCAGTTTATTTTATTCCCTTAGCTTGGGGAATCTAAAACATCCATAAGCACTAATCTGGCTGAACATAATTAAGTCTGTAAAGAAACAGCATTGTAATTAAGAATCCCCTGTGTTGCATGACAATGGGAGCTACCCATGGACTGGTAATATTCTTTAAAACCATTTTCCTCCAGCAAATATAATCTTATTAATTTTACAATAACTTCATTTTCATTTGCATTTATCACTTGGGAAGAAGTCATGTTGATGTATCATAATATCATAGAACAAAATTCCTAAATGACAAATTGGTAATAGTGTATCATGCAGAAAAAACACAGTTGGTGAGTAACCTAAAGTATGACCTTAAGTAAGTAATTCAAGCAAGAATTTTTAAATCAACTGTGTAGTCAATTAAGTAGCCACTGTAAGAAAAATTGGATCCAGATGTTTCAAGTTGATTGGCTGCTGCATCAATTTTCTTTATGCTGCAGAGGCATGCAAACTGAAAACAACAGTTATTGCAACTACTGCAGCATTGACCAGGGGAAAAAATGAAGTCTGCCAGTCCTTGGGGGATCAGAGTCCCAGTGGAATAATTCAGTGAGAGTTCAGTCCAATCCAATTCAGTGACTCAGTTGGACTGGAAATCCATTGTTTCTAATTCCCTCTGTTCTGACTTGTATGGGGTAAAACTGCACATGGTTCTGAAGTCAGGAGCAGATACTCCCTACACTTCATTTTCTTTTCTACAGTTTATTCAGGACACAACTTGAGCTTAAATTCTATAAAGCTCAATAAGACATGGCCATTTGGTTTCCCTTTGACAAG